GGTGGTGGTGATGATGGTGTTGATGGTGATGGTGGTGATGGTGATGATGGTGGTGGTGATGATGATGGTAAGGGCAATGCCAGGCCCTAGTGAAACTCTTTACACATAGTATCTCATTCAATCCTCAGAATAACCCAAGAGGAGGCTCTGTGATTATTCCTATGTCAGAGTTTGGGTGCAGTGTCAGGGAGGATAAGTGATTAGTTCCCTGAGCGGCAAGTAGCTTACACTCCAGCTTGGGCCCCATCCCGACTGCTGCCTGCCCTGCCATGACACGTATAAAGCCAACCGGAAGACAGGAGCATGGCAGGCAGCAGACAGAGTGGAGAGCTGGCTGGCCATCTGCAGATCTTCAGCAGCTGCAGTGGTTGAGCCAGAACTGGCTCCCAGCTTCCTCAGCAGGAGGAGAAATGACCTGATCATCGAGGTAGCGTCATGGCCGGGAGGAACAATGTTCCACACTCCCACCCAGGCACGCCATTTCTAGCCCTGAACTCTAAAACAAACTTCTCCTGTGTGTCTGGCTGCAATTCCATTTTTTGCGGCTGCCTGGTTTTTGGAAGGCCCTTGCGCTGGTTGCTTTCAGGCCTCTGCCCGAAAGAGGGGAGGAGCTGTGGGAGGGCTGAGAGGGTGGCAGCCCCAGGACGCCCGCGCGGTGGGATTCTGAGACCTCGCCCCTCTCTCCCCCCGACAGAAATGCCTAGAGCTTAAGACGAGCCTGCTGGCCCGGCAGAGGGGCACCCAGTCATCCTTGGACCGCCTGCGGGCCCTCCTGAGACTGATACAGGGTGAGCAGATGCTGCAGGTCACCATGACGACCACCAGCCCCGCCCCACTGCTGGCCGGGCCCTGGACCAAGCCCCCAGCGGCAGCCATGCGCTCCGCCCTCCAGCACCCCCAGGGGCACAACTGACCCTGCGGGAGCCGCTTCACACCCACGGGAGGTTCCTGGGACCCTGCTCAGCAGACCTGAGGGTTCTGTCCGCCTTAATTCATAAACACTATGAATTTCAGATGAAAATAAAACCTGACCGAGAGAGACAGAGGAAAGAAGGGAGAAGGAACTGGGTGGAAGTCCTAGAGCCAGGACGGGTGGGGATGGAGTCCTCTCCCTCCACATTTAGACGGGACACCAAGAAAAGCAGGGGGGCGCCTGACGGCCGGGCGCACAGTCAGCCCCTGGCTGTTGGGGGGCTGCCCAGCCTCCGGCTTCCAGGCACAGCTGTCTCCTCGGCCTCATGCTGCTCCCGGGAGAGAGAAGGGCAGAGGTTGGGAGGGGAGCCAAGAACCCGAAGACCTAGCTGAGTAGTAGCGGTAGTTGGGATGAGCAGTGGGTAGCGAATCTAGGTAGGACTCCGCGCCCCTCCCGCTCAGGGGCCCCGGGGCTCGAGGCCGGGACGCTCCAGCGCCTTCCCAGAACACGGGCCCCTGTCTGTCAGTATTATTAGCATTAAGAGTCACAGCCGTTGAACTTGAAAGAAACTACAAGGTGGGTCCCTCGGGGAGGGACTCTGCAGTCTCCACCTGCCAGGGCCTCCCCGTGCCCCCCGAGTCTTCGGAGCGCCCGCTCTGTACGCCTCCTGCCCTTTGCCGACCTTCTGGACTCATTTTGCCATCGATGTATTTTTCTCATGGAGTTTTTGGGCAAGATGGAGCTGCAAGCATGCAGGGGAGGCCTTTGGCGGGTTTTCTCTTCGGGGTTGAATCATTCAACTTACGACTGAAGCCTTTTCTTTTCTCCTTTCGAAGAGCCGATAAAGTATTCCATTCCTCTTTTCTTGCCAGTACAGACACTTATGCCAAAAATAACTTTACATTTTTGTATGGCGTTTTTATTGTAAGATATTTAATGTGAAGCAGGGATGCTTGCTGACTTCTTTTCCTGCTTACAGTGGTCTCTGCTGCAAGGTACGAATGCGAAAACCCCTCCTGGGGGACTGCCAAACTGGAGAGATCCAGAGGGTTCTTTCAGAAGGGGGGGCGAGGGTGGGGAGGGAGAGGGGGCAGTGGCCTCGGGAGGGTTTGGCCTTGGGAGATGCAAGAGTCCCTCTTCTTGCTGTCTCCTTGCGTTCGTGAGAGCTGAGGGCGCGCACGCGTCACACAAGGGCTCCCGCGCCCCGGGGTGGGATGTCCACCCACCAGCTTCTCCAGTCCTGAGGGACGTAGCACAACAGGATAAGCATCCGGAAGCCACCGGGCTCCCACCCCAGCATATCACACGGTGCCGAATTGCATTGAACACAGGTGCGCGTGTGCACATGCGGCCCCAGACACACACGCACGCAGACAGGTGCAGAGCAGGGAGACTGGCCAGGATCCCACAGACTGCCATGGTCCCTCCTGTCATTTTCTCGACTCCGGGAGAAACTGTGCTGTACGATACAGATCTATTTTAATACACTTAACACTGGGTTGAACAAGATTTTTATATTCTTTTATTGATGAACAAAGTGAACTGTGAGACACACGTCTTCTATATTGGTTACTCTAGATGCCAATTATGCATTACTGCGTGGCTTGCGATGTAAATGTCTTCAGGTTCCTTCTTGTTGGTTTGTTTTTCTTCTTGGATGGATTGAATTGAATTAAATTAAAAAAAAAATGTAATGGGAGGATATGGAAGGTTGGACCCGGGAGGGGTAGCTGCCGACGTGTCTTGAAGACTTAGTGTTTTGGACCAAGGAGGACCGTCCAGTGGATAGTGAGGATAGAGAAAGTGTTTGTCTTAAATATGCCAATGTAGTTTTCCTTCTGTATGATGTATTAAACTCGATTGATGATTTCAAAGCCGTGTGGTTTGCTTTGCCTTCAGCAGAGAGGCCTCTGGGAGCATGAGGGGCAGGGAGGGGGAAATTGGAGAGGTGGAAAATCAGGGTCCTGTCCCTGATGGGAGGGAGGGAGGGAGGAGAGAGCTCATGGGCGCCCCCCACGTGCTGATCCCCCCACCCCCACCCCGAGGTGGCAGGTGCAACTGTTGGGACCCAGTGGATGATCAGGAGCAACAGAAACCCACCCGGCCAGGAGCTGTGCGGTGTGGACACTGCTCCCTCACTTATTCCTGCTTCTCTCAGCCCATCAACAGCACCTGCTTTTTCTGTTGCACATGAGCTCCCACAACCTACCCACCTGGGTCTTCGTCCTTGGCCTTTCAAGAGAGCAGCCAAACTGGGGAGCCAGACCCCCTGCGTCCTGGCTCCAGACACTTCAGAGGCCTCCAGTTGGCCCAGTCAGGTGGGGAGCACACCTCTGGACCACCAGATGTGGCCAACGGTGGGGTCAAATACGAAGGGATGGCCCACTGGAGCCCGGGGACTGAGGGATGCACCCAGAGACGGGAGGGGTGGGCAGGGCTGCATGGCCCAGCCGGTGGGGTCTCTGACAGTCCTGTCCTATTTCCAAGTGGGCCCAGAATCACATAGTTTGGGTGGGGCCTAGAGTTCAAGGCGCCTCTGCCTGACCCCCGGCTGACTCCTCCAGCGCCCCTCTGCCTCCTTGAGAGCCGGCCCAGTCTCAGCCCCGGGGACACATGAGGAGCCCCCACCCTGCCTTAGAGGACTCAAGATTCCCTTCGGATTCCCGTCGTTCTCAGTCTCCTAATTTCCTCCCACCCTTTCGGGTCCCTCTCCAACCAGGCTGCCCTTCTCCCCATGATTCCCCTGGAGCTGCCCAATTCAAGGTCAGTGGTGACCTCCCTGTGGCCAGATCTAGTGGGGGACACGCTGACCATGCCCTCCAGCTGAAGGACACTCCCAGGACCCCCACTCACCTGGTTGTTCCAGTTTGTCTCTTCCCTGGGTCTGTGCTCTGACCTCTCCTCTCCTCCTGAATTCCTAGGCTGACCTTGTCCAGTCTCCTGGTTCTCTGTCTCTATGCTGACTGTTCCCTAGCTGTTCTCTCCAGGGCTGGGCCTCTGCCCGTTGGGCATCAGAAAGCGTCTGTCTCCGCCAGGCCAGCCCTCCTGCACCTGTCCCATCTCTGGGAGATTCCATCTTCTTACATGGGCCAGCAGCCCAGCAATCTCACCCTCCACACCTGCTCATCGGCAGCACGCTCAGAATATAAGCGGAGGGTGGCCATGTGTCACCACCCACACCAACATCACCTTGGTCTCAGCCCGCCACCTCACCTGGATGACTGCAGCTGTGGCCTTAACACGTGCTCCTCCCCCATCCCTCTGCCACCAGCATGACAATGCCTCTGCTAAACCCCTGCTGTCACTGCCCATCTTGCCCAGCAACAAGTCCTCCAAGGCTGCAGTCACTGCATTCTCTGGCCCTTTGACTTCCCTTCCTGCCTCTCTTCACTTTCCTCACTCTGTTCCAGCCGCACGGCCTCCCTGCTCTACCTGGAACCCACTTGGCATGCTCCTGCCACAGGGCCTTTGCACGGCTATGTCTGTACCAGGCATGCCCTGCTGTCTCTTGGACTGGCTTCCCCACTTGCTTGGGAATTTGACCACAGTCCCCTCAAGGTGCAGCTGTCCCCAGCCACCCTCCTTAAGACTTAGCATCTCCTCTCCTTCCTTGTTGTTTGATTCCTCAGACTTTTTCTTTTTTTAAAGATTTTATTTCTTTGACAGAGAGAGAGACACAGCAGAGAGAGGGAACACAAGCAGGGGGAGTGGAGAGGGAGAAGCAGGCTTCCCGCCGAGCAGGGAGCCCAATGCGGGGCTCGATCCCAGGACCCTGGGATCATGACCTGAGCCGAAGGCAGACGCTTAACGACTGAGCCACGCAGGCGCCCCTGATTCCTCAGACTAACAACTTTCTGTGACTTACCTTTTTGGTTTTGCCTGCTTCACGAAGGCAGGGAACTTGGTCAGTTTTACTCACCAATTCCCAGCATCTAGAAGAATACCTGGCACACAGGAAGTAGGTGCTCAGTAAAGACTCATGGAATACAGGAAGGAGGCTTTGAGAGACGGAGCTGCCGGGCCTTGCGGCTGCCTCCATCCCAGCTCAGGGTCCTATCCCACGGCTTCCCTGTTCCCAGTGGAGCTGCCCGGTCCACTTGCCCAGTGAGGGTGGGGGCAGGGGGGTGAGGAAGCTGAGCCTGGGGAGGGGTGGGATCTCCAGGGACCCTGCTGCTACAGAGGGGTTGAACCCAGACTCTACCATATCCTTGTCCTCTAATCCCCAGGGGGTTCCAGGACAGCCTGCCCGTCTCCCATCAAGAGAGGCAGGGGCCTGGGGAGCTCCAGCGCCCCAACACAGAGCAGGAGTTCCTTGCAAATCTGGATGCGCCCCCGCCCCCTGCGATGAGAACTCCCTCCCTCCTGGGGAAGCCCCTTCATGGATTAGCTCTGCCATTAGAAATGGGGCCCCAGGGCGCCTGGGTGGCTCAGTTGTTAAGCGTCTGCCTTCGGCTCAGGTCATGATCCCAGGGTCCTGGGATCGAGCCCCGCATCGGGCTCCCTCCTCAGCGGGAAGCCTGCTTCGCCCTCTTCCTCTGCTGCTCCCCCTGCTTGTGTTCCCTCTCTCTGTCAAATAAAAAAGTAAAATAAAATCTTAAGAAAAAAGGGGGGGCCCCAAAGCGTGTGGACACCTATAGTCCCTCCTGGTGCCCAGGTGGCCCTGTGCCCACATGCTGGAAAACTTGGGGTTCAACAGGGGTCCCCAGCACCTTCCGATTCCCCGGCTCCATCTGACCTGGCCCCAGGGAACAGGGCCCATCATAGCTCTGCGGTGCCCCCCAAGCAAGCTCAGGGGTGGGAGACTCCCCGGGGCTGGTCATCAGCTATGGTGATGAGGATTCACCACTTCCCAGAGGGCTCCCCCGGGGGCACTTTGTTTCCAGAAGCTGCCATAACAAAGCACCACAGACCACGCGGTTTAAACAACAGAATGAATTCTCTGCCTGTTCGAGAAGGTCACGCAGCCAGCAGGCCGCTTCCGCCTGGGCTGTGGCCCTGTGCCCGCGCTTCCAGCACTTCTGCTACTCCGCCCGCTGCACCCCGGGCACCTCTCGGGGCACAGGTGGACCGCTGCAGGCCGCCCTGCCCAGCCGCACGCACGCACGCTCCTGACCCAGCCACCTCGCCAGTCTGGGGCTGCGGATGGCGACCCAGGTGACGCTATGCACAGCTGCAAGGGGACAGATAAAGCCAACTAAGCACTGCTGAGCACATAGGCTGGCACGGAACCCAGCCCCTGCCCACCCTGTGTGTCCCCCAGTGTGGGAAGGGCGCTTCTTTTTTTTAAGATTTATTTATTTATTATTCATGAGAGACAGAGAGAGAGAGAAGCAAAGGGAGAAGCAGGCTCCCCGCCGAGCAGGGAGCCCAACGCGGGACTCGATCCCAGGACCCCGGGATCATGACCTGAGCCGAAGGCAGTCGCTTAACCAACTGAGCCACCCAGGCGCCCGGGAAGGGCGCTTCTTAAACTAAGCTCGGCTTTGCCCCCGACCCCAGCTCTCAGAATCCCCCGAGGCTCCCCAGACAATGCTACCGTTTCTGGGGGGTGTTGCTGGGTGGGTTCTGGTGACAGCATGTCTGCACGGGGCTGGGGCTCATCCCGGGGAGAAGTCTGAGACCAGAGAGAGTGAGACGACCCGCAGAGCCAAACCTCAGGCAGCTGGCTGGAAAGGGGTCTCTCCGCCGGTACAGGACCGCCGGGAGGATCCCACACCAGGCCACGGAGGGGGCTGGCCGTGGTTACCTGCACTGGCCACCTTCCATATGGTGAGGCCCCGACACCCACTCCCGAGGATCCCTGGGCTGCAGACAGAGCAGAGGGACTCCCACCCACTTATAGGACAGTGCAGCTCCAAACAGGTCCATTTTGAGGTCAAGGGACAGAGATCAGTTTGTTCCAGTGGCAGCAGGCGGTTCCCTGCGGTGTAAGAAAATGGGGCCGTGGAAGGGAAGGCGGCAGCAGGAGGATGCGGGCGGCTACGCTTCTACCCCCAGCTTCCTCCCTCACCCAGGGTTAGGTCAGCAGGAGTGGTCCTCACCGTCTCCCCAGGTGGGGCCCTGGCGGGGGCGCTGCCCAGAACTGGAAGGGAAACCTGGCCAGGAAGGGCCACCACTGGTACGCATCTCCTCCCGAATCCGTGTCCGGTGACTTCGTGTCGGTAGCTTGAAACCGTCCGCGGCGGGAGTACTGACACCGCGGAAATGGGCAAACACTACACATCAGGGCCTGACGTTCCTAGAGAGCCAGTAGTTAAACACCCACCAGCACACTGCTGTGTGTGCGTGTGTGTGTTTGCGTGCAAAGGCGTGTGTGCACGTGGGTGCTTATGACAGAGATACGGGAGTGTGGTGCCAAAGTACGCTCGTGCCCAGGATTGGCCAAAGGTGCTGTGTTTGCAAATGCAGCACTAGATTCCTTACCTAATCTCCAGACACAAGCTGTCTGGATTTAGCAGTTGACCAGGAGCGGATGGCTCTAAATTGCACCGATTTCACAAGGAGGCTTACATATGATAATTAACACCTCTTCCTGCATGGATGCAGTTGAATCTGGCCAAATAACACAAAACCACAATTAGACCAGCCTTTTGGGGGGACCAAAAAATTACCCAAAATTTGGACAGAAGGTATGTCTTTAATGTCATCCTAGAGGAGCATTTCTCCAACTCGAGTGAGCATTGGAATCACCCGGGGAACTGGCTGAAACTCAAGATTGCTGGGTGCACCCCAGCTCCATGGATTCGTGAAAGGAGGGGCCACACAAGGCAGACCGTGCAGTCAGAGAGCTCCCCAGGAACCTCACTGGCACGTCAGGAAAGAAGCATCTGGCTCTCGAAGTCCATGTGAGCCTGGAATACCTCGGGGCCTTCTT